TACAATATGAATGCTAAAGATTGCAACTAGCCGAAACCGGTTTGGCTCACTGGATAGAGTGTCGGCTTGGGGACTGAAGGGTCCCGGGTTCGATTCCGGTCAAGGGCATGTACCTTAGTTGCGGGCACATCCCAGTAGGGGGTGTGCAAGAGGCAGCTGATCGATGACTCTCTCTCATCTATGTTTCTAACTCTCTATCTCTCCCTTCCTCTCTGAACAAAATCAATAAAATATATAAAGATTGCAACTATTCAATAGATTACTATTATGGCGAGGCCTTTTTAAGGGACAAAGCAAGTATGTTTCTTTTTCTTTTCAATAAATGTATAATTTTCTTATTGGAATATTAGAATCATATTTTTAAAGGAAAAACCCTAAGTTCATATTATTTCCAATTCTCCTTTACTATTGGCTTCCACATACTCTGAAAATTATCATTGCTGTAATATACAGAATTGTTTGAAAGTAGTACTGGCAGTGAGATTACTGAATGGAATTTAAGATTTCTTTGTAAGTCTATTTTATCCTGAGAACATATTCCTCTTTGTATATTCCACTACGTACAATGAAAACACTATTTTCCAAAGTCCGTTCATTGTTTACTTGGTGTGGCTATGCCACCAGCTTAATATACAGTTAGGTCATTTGCTTCAGTCAATTTCAAATTTCAGGAATTACATCTTTCTTTTTCATTCAAAATTACGTTGACTATGTAAAATATATAAATGAGTCTAAAGTCAAAACTATATAGTCAAGCCCTCGCTGGTTTGACTCAGTGGATAGAGCATTGGCCTGCAGACTAAAGGGTCCCAGGTTCAATTCTGGCCAGGGGTACATGCCTGGGTTGCAGGCTCAGTCCTCAGTAGGGGGCACACAGGAGGCAGCCGATCAATGATTCTTTTTCATCATTGATGTTTCTATCGCTCTCTCCTTCTTCTTTCTTCTCTGAAATCAATAAAAATATATTAAAAACAAAAAACTATTCCAAATAGCTATTATTAAAACACACACAAAAACTATATAGTCAAGGTATATTCAGAATAGTCTGTTTCATTGCCTGTCTACTTCACCTATTTTCTTCCATCCCAAAGATATGCAAATATATTATATATTCACTAGAGGCCTGGTGCATGAATTCATGCATGGGTAGGGTCCCAGATGGGCTGAGGGAGGGGATATGGGAGGTTGGCCAGACAGCCCTGCCCACTGGTTGAACTCCCGATTGAGGGGACAATTTGCATATAAGCCTTTTATTATATAGGAGAGTTCACCTGCCTTACAAAAAGAGCATACTATAGTGTCTGTACCTTGGTGTGTGTTTTTAAAACATGTATTCTGGAGATTATTCCACATCATTTTAAAGAGACGGCCCTCATTCTTTTTCAGAGTTGCACAGTGTGTTTCATCGTATGGCTCTTCCCGAGTTAATCCAACCAGCCCCCTACTTGGGGTTGTTTAGTTTGTTTCCAATCTTTTGCTATTACAAATAACACTGCAATGAATAACGTTGTGCATAAGTCTTTTCGTACTTGGGGATTTTTAGGTCCAGGGTAATTTTTCTAAAGATTATCAAATTCCTTTTCCATAGGTGCTGTGCACAATTTTACATTCTCACTGGCAATATGTGTTCTTCCTGTTCTCTACCATCTGCCAACCCAGTAGGTGGTCAAATTTTTGGATTTTTGCTAATCTGATTGCTTGCCTCCTTTTATCATTGGGCCTGAAGATATACCACGATGCTTTCACCTGCTTTTGGAAGAACTCTCTTAGCATAAACAATAGGTGACTGTGTTAAGAGTGCTAGAAGGAGGATAGCTGCCGTGTTCCTATCTAGTTCTACTCCCCTAATCATGTACATGCCAAAGCCCAAAGCATACACCATCCTTGTTAAGACTTTATATTTCCAAAGGCTGGTTCAGGTTTCCAGCCAAAAAAAAGGGGGGTGGGGACACCAGGTATGACCTTACTGCTTTCTAAGGTCAGCAGAAGGTAGAGAAAACACTAAGTAAGTCCACTGGTCCTTTACCAGCTTCTGGGCCCTGAGGAAGGTGTCAGTTTGCTGTATCCACCACAACTCAGTGCCAAGCAGATGTCCCTGTGTCTGGCTGGGGGTTTCTTTAACCTGCAGGGCTGCCCACATCCCGGACCTTTTGTTTGTTGCTTTGTAAAATTCAATGTCATGGGTGGAAATTATTTTTTTTCTTTAGCTTCTCCCATTTCCCTGTATCCTCATGGGTGATTTTGCCCCAAAGGGTTATTTTGGCAATGTCTTGAAACAAGTCTAGTTGTCATAGTTGGACAGGGATAATCCTCGCATTCAGTGAGTAAGAGGCAGGATGTCGTTAAACATCCTACCATGCACAGGACAGCCCTCCCCGCCACCACAAAGAATGATCGGGCCCAAAATGTCCATAAGGCCAAAGCTGAGAAACCCTGCTGTATTCTTTCTTACTGCACACATTCACAGACATCCTTGAAGTGACTGTAGACAGCGTCAGTCAGGAAAGGCACAATCACAGATACTCCTTCTCCCCACTCCTCCGAAAGTCACCAGCAATTCAGAAATCTCTGTAGTCAAAGAGACTCTAAGAAGTTATTTATTTATCTGAAAGATTAAAGAACAAATACCATTTTAACCTTTAAAAACTGGTTATCAATAGGTATAACGCAACCTTTTAACTGTAAGTACAAAGGAAAGTCTTGATTATTTAAAATAAATGGGACCTAGAGTCCCATGAATAATAAAAAACTTGGTTAATAGAGTATGACCAGAGAATAATGCACTTGGCTTCTGTGGAGAAATTAAAGTACATGTTGTGAATTGGTATTAAGCAAATTGCATGAAAAGTTAGCCTTAAGGTACAGTGATTCTGAAGAAACAGCCTCAGGGGCATAATATATCATGTTCAACCTTTATCTGTCCTGTTTTTTTTTTCATGACTTCTTTCACCTTGGATAACCCAGCTCAGGCCTTAGAGCTTTTTGGAATGGTAAGGTAACGCACTCTTCACATCTACTTTCATCTAGAATAGACCTGCATTTTATTGCCAGGAGTTTATCTCTTTCAAGTGAATTATTTGTGAACTGTAGTTTGCCTTACTTATTTTTTGGGCACAGACTGTGTTTAATACTTTTGAGCATAACTCACTTGATCTAAAATGTATCCCTGAGGAGTTATGTCTAAATTGAATGTTTGGCAATACAATCAAATTTTTAAATCATGAGGGAAATTTGCCATTCAAAGAGAGTCTGAGGATAACTAAACCTTTTTGCAAAGTGAATAATTATTCTTTAATTTGCCCCTTGTTAAGTCGAGTCCAGTAAGTATGTATGATGCTAATTTAAAACACGTCAATCGTAAATTTTAAAAGATTTTAAAAGTTGAAGAGAGCTTTGCAAGCTATTTTTAAGAGTGTAAAACTGCATAATACATCATTTTTATTCATAAGGGTTTTAACACTTGTTTGGGATGACAAGAGAGGATGCTGGACATACCTGGAAAAAGAATAGGTAGCATTATAGAAATGATAACCACATTGATAGCAATAAGGAAAAAAGAATGGTTGGTAGGTAATGTGTTATTTTGATAGTTAAGAGCGAGGATTTAGAAACCAGATTGTTTGGGTTCATGTCCCTTAGTGTGGCCTTAGGCAATTTAATATAGGACATGGCTGTGCCTGTTTCTTCATAGAAAACGTGGAGAATACTACCTATCTAACCGGGCTGCTTTGAGGATTATGCAATAATACACGAGCTGTAATGCAGTATTGGGTCAGAGGTCCGGTTTTCAATACTGGATGGGGAGTTCCTCTAAAGAGGTGACCCTTGCTGAAACCGGTTTGGCTCAGTGGATAGAGCATCAGCCTTCGGACTGAAGGGTCCCAGGTTCGATTCCAGTCAAGGGCATGTACCGTGGTTGGGGGCACATCCCCAGTGGGGGGGTGGAGTGGGGTGTGTGTGTGCAGGAGGCCTCTGATCAATGTTTCTGACTCTCAATCCCTCTCCCTGCCTCTCTGTAAAAAAAAAAAAAAAAAAAAAAAAAAAAAAAATCAATATATTTGCCGAAACTGGTTTGGCTAAGTGGTAGAGCGTTGGTCTGCGGACTGAAAGGTCCCCGGTTCGATTCCGGTCAAGGGCATGTACATTGGTTGAGGGCACGTACATTGGTTGAAGGCACGTACATTGGTTGAAGGCACATCCCCAGTAGGGGGTGTTCAAGAGGCAGCTGGTCGATGTTTCTCTCTCATGGACGTTTCTAGCTCTCTATCTCTCTCCCTTCCTCTCTGTAAAAAATCAATAAAAAATATATTTTAAAAAATCAATATACTTTTAAAAATAAATAAAAAATAAAGAGGTGACTCTCCGCACCCTTAAGGGAGGGATCGCTGCTTCTGCTCACAGGGGTTAAACCAGCCTCAGCGAGGCCAGTGACTTGGATCAAGACAGAGGACATTCCTTGGGGGAAAAAAGAACCCTTTGGGCCGGGCCACGCCGTCTGCTTGGGAGCTGAGGGCACGAGATCAGAACCACGCGTGCACTTGGTACCCCCACGACCACGGAGCCACAGCTCCGGAGCCCGCAGCCGCAGAGGTGGCCCCCACCCGGGCCCAGGACCACCGCCTGGGCAGACGACGACGAGAGCGACCAGCCGGAGGCTTTCCCCGAGAAAGTAGCCGACGCCCTTCTTTCCGAGCGGGCTGGAGGCCGAAAAAAAAAAAGAAAAAGAAAAAAGACCCACGTTCATGACACCAATATTTATGTGTGCCCACTCTGTGCTGGCGCTGGGAAGGCTCCGATGACCACACTCGGCTTAGACTCCAGGCACTGGAGCAGCAACAGCCCCACATTCCCGCCACACTCGGCATTCCCGGGCCAGAACCAGGGGATGGGAGGAGCCGAGGCTTCCACCTCCGGAGCCACGCCCCCTCAGGGCTTTCACGGCAGTGCCGTAAAGTAGGGAGCAGCCTCAGCTCCGGAATAGCCCGCCTCCGTCTTTACGACAGGCCGCATTCCCCGCCTCCAAATATGGCGTCCCCCATTTAGGTATCCGCCGTGGTTTCTACCCCAACGGTCCGGGGGCAGTGCTGAGCCAGGGCAATTGCCTAATCTAGACTGGGCTGCAGAAAGCTGCCTTTCCAGTTCGCTGCTGGTTACGGCTTCCGGAACCCACGCACCTGTGCGGGCCCAGAGTCGCCGATCCCTTCTAGTCCCTGCCTCTTCCTCCTCTGCCCCTTGGTTAGTTTCCCTTCGCTACCTCCGGGCAGACCCAGACTCAAAACTATGAGCCTTCCGCCACTGCTGATGCGCTTGCCCCGCCGACTCCGGGCGTCGGGACCCCCGCGCCGCCTGTGGTGGTCCCCGTCCCTCCGCACCCTCTCGGTGGGCTCCTGGCGGGCTCAGTCCTCCAAGGCCCCGGCCTACTGGAACCAGGTGGTGTCCGAGGCGGAGAAGATCGTGGGCTATCCCACGTCCTTCATGAGCCTCCGCTGTCTCCTGAGCGACGAGCTCAGCAACATCGCTATGCAGGTGCGGAAGCTGGTGGGCACTCAGCACCCGCTGCTTACCACAGCCAGGTGAGCTACTCGCCCCCCGCCGGCACCCACTCGCGAGTCCGTTTTAATGACCGACACACCGTTCGTGCTTCACCAAGACTGGCTCCCCGCCCATCTCTTTTCACTCTTCCTTTCCTCAGCCCTCCTGGACTTTGGACGTGGTCTCTTCTCTAGTCCACTCACTTCAACGTTCCTCCTCTCTCTGCTCAGTGGAGCGCATAGGTGGTTTTCTTTTGAGGAATACGTGTACACTTTTTGCGTTTTTTCCTTAATTATGGAGAGTGAAGATGCCTCAGTGATTAGTGGAGGAAGTGAGTTAGGGATGTGAGCCTGAGTCATTTGCTAGAAATGGTCTTTAAGAAATGGAATGGATTCCTTTTCGATTCTGCACTATTCAAGAGGTCACCTCTAGAAAGAAGGGAAAGGGGAGATAGGCGGAAGGTAGACGACAGTTCTTTCCGAGAATACCCCAGGCTTGAAGTAAGAATTTATGTAGTCAGTAGTCATTATCCAGTCTTGGGATTTTTTTATCACTTATGCTGGAGTTCCGTGAAACCTGCCATTAGGATTTTAAGGACCACAACTTTTGCTTCCACTTAATAAACAACAACACACCACCTTTTTATTTGTAAATGATTTCAAACATGTTGAAAAGTTGCAAGAATATAAATAGTACAGTGAGCACACTTGTATACTCTTTAATCAGATTCACCTATGATACATGTACAAATATTCATATGTATATATATAAAATATATATACATACACATACATATATATATTTTTTTCTGAATCATTTGATGGTAGACTGTATACATCACTAGAGGCCCAGTACACAAATTTATGCATGGTATGGATCCAGCCAGAGGGAGGGACCCCAGGTGGTTGGCCAGCCAGCCCTGCCCACCCCCCCAACTCCCGGGAGAGGGGTCAATTTGCATATTAGGCTTTTATTATATAAGCTGGTCTTTTACTCCTAAATACTTCATTGTGCATTTCCTAAGCATAGAAATATTATTGACATAATTATATCACAGTAATCAATTTAGGCACATTTAATGTTGAACAGTGCTTTTATTTAATTTATCATTGGTATTCCAGTTTTGTTAATTGACCTAATAATGTCCTTTATAAAAGCATTCTTTCCTTCTCCAGTACAGGATCCAGTGAAGATCAGATATTGCATTTAGTTGCCATGTCTCTTTAGTCTCCTTCCATCTTGAGGAACACTTCCACAGCTCTTCTTTGTTCTTATGACTAGAACAGTAATCCTCTAATGGGACAGTTGTGCCCCTGGGGAACTTTTGGCATTTAATGGTTGGAGGCCAGAGATGCTGTTAAACACCCGACAATGCCCAGGCCAATCCCTAACATTGAAGGATTATGTGCCCCACCATGTCAGTAGTACTAAGGTGGAGAAACCCTGGATGAAAATGTTCACTTTTATGTTTTCTTTTTTTAAATTAATCTTTTACTTTGAGATAATTGTAGATTCACTTGCAGTTGGAAGAAATAATACAGAGAAATCCAATGTACCATGTAGGCAGATTTTCTCAGTGGTAGCATCTTGCACAACTACAGTATGATATCATAAGGTTGATACAGTCAAGATGCAGTCAAGATCCAATGTACCATGTAGGCAGATTTTCCCAGTGGTAACATCTTGCACAACTACAGTACGATATCATGAGGTTGATACAGTCAAGATGCAGAACATTTCCATCACTACAAGGATCCCTCACTTGCCTTCCTATAGCCACCTCCACTTCCCTTGCCCACACCCTTGCTTTAATTTTTTGAGACACCTGTAATTTCTTGCTACAAAAGTTACCGAATATCAATAGTAGAGTGATTTTATTTCTTGGCATCATTCCCAGTTACCAAGAATGTCATCTTATGAGTGGGCTAAACTTGTCCTATAGCTGGAATGTTAGTTCTCCAGAGATTCTATATGATAGACACTCAACACACAGACACACACATATTATAAAGCTTAATAATAGAACTAAAGAGTTTATTACTCAATTTAAGAACTATAACTTACCAATCATGTTGATGGTGAGTTACTCCCCTGTCCATCTGCCTGACCTTATGTATACTGGACTTTGTGTTTATTTTTCCTTTTTAAAATTGCATGAATGTTTCCATAACTAATAACATGTTTACTTTTTTTTCTTTTTGAAATGTATTAACATGGTAGTTTATTGCATATAATCTGTTACGACCTGCTCTTTTAATGCATCGTTTCTAAGATTCATCCATGTTGAGTTTAACTGTACTTCATTAGTTTTTCACTGGTATCTAAAATCCTATTGTGTGAATATGTCACAGTCTTTTTTTTTTTTAAGTCAGCTTTTGGGTTGTTTGCATTTTTGGTCTTATGAAAGTACTGCTGTGAATATTTTTGCACATATCTCTTGGTGTACTTCTCAAGAGAACAGATACAGCAGTATATGCACATGTTCAGCTATAGTAGATAATACCAAATTGTTTTCTAGAGTGGTTGTACCAGTTTACACTCTCATGAGCAATGTCTGAACTCAGGTTACTCCATGTTCTCACAACACTAGAACTATGAGGTTTCTTAATTTTTGCTAATCAAGTCATGAGTTTCTGTGTGTGCCTATGTGTGTGTGATGCAAGTGATAGTATTAGCGTTGGAAGTTGTACTTGTATATTACATTGTGCATATTGTAGTCTCTCTAATAAAGCATTGAAGTGAAAACAGTAGAGCTAAAAAGAGCCTTATTAATTTGTATATTCTGAGAGTTCCAGTTTATCTAGTTAAGTGTCAGATTGACTTTCAGCCCAGGCACCATGGGGTGGGTTTCGTTATCTAAATCCAGCCAAGCACCAGGAATGAATACGATTCGGGCCCACCCAAGAATGTGCATAATCTTCTTTGTCTTGACCTTTAGTAAAACTTCCTGGTTTTTGCTCTATAAAATAAACACGCTATTTTGGCTCTGGGTCCCTGTCTGTCCTTCAGAGGACAGTGGTCCCACCAGGCCCCAGTTTTTTTCTTCCATCTCTGTGTCTGTCTCTTTCTTTCATTTGCTCAATCCCCAGCAGCCTCTACTCAGGAACTGGACCACTCTCTAGCTGTGCTGGACTCCGAAAAGAGAAATATTTACAGTTTGATACCTTGATTGAGATGGCGGTTACATAAATCTGTACATAGGATAAAGTTGCATAGACTTGTATATGCCTTCACATACAAATAAATGCAGTTTAATAAAATAATGAAAATGGAATAAGCTTTGTAGTTTTGCTAACACTAATATACCTATGTTATTATTATTATTATTATTTTTTGTTTTAATATTGTACTACAGTATATATTGGTAGAAGCTGGATGAAGGACACAGGACTTTCTTATACTGTTTTTGCAATTTTCTGTGAAATTATTTCATTATTTTGGAAAGCTAAAAAAATCACTTTGAATTGAGAAAGAAAACAATGAATGAATGAGAAAAACAATTCATTCATTGTTTTCTTTCTCAATTCAAAGTAAACCTGGGAGACAGGAAACCTGTATGGTTTAATTTCATCTCTGTCAGTAAGGACCACTGTGACCCTAGGAAGTTATTCTAAGCAATAAAGTAAGGAGATTGACTAAATGATTGCCAATTCTAGACTAGTGTAGAAGTTAGTGTCATAACTGAATGTGGCAAGTAAGGAAGCCATTGTCACTTCTCAAGGAGGAAGTGAGCAGATTGAATGCAATATGATTATACAACTCTATAGTCCTTTTCCTACTATTTAAAATTCCTAAAAGCTCAGAAGACATTGTTTTTTCAGACTCAAAAACCTGATCCAAACTGATGATTATTTATAGCCTTTCTTTATTCCACTTAATGTGAATATCCTTGCATTTTGCTGCAGAAATACTAATGTATTTGATTACAGGTTACTGCCCCATATTCTGCGAGAGTGCTGGGTTTAAATGCACCTTCCTAAAATAAAAGAAGTTTAGTCTGGCCAGTGTGGGTCAATGGTTGAGCGTCAACCCATGAACCAGGAGATCACGGTTTGAGTCCCAGTCAGGGCACATGCCAAGATTGAAGGCTTGATCCCCAGTAGGGGATGTATAGGAGACAGCCTATCAATGATTCTCTTTCATCACTGTTGTTTCTATCTCTTTCTCCCTCTCCCTCTCTCTTAAAAAAAAAAATAAATAAATAAAAAAAAAAAAAAAATAAAAAAAAAAATATATATATATATATATATATATATATATATATATATATATATATATATATATATTTAATAAATTTTTTAAAATTTGGAAAGATGTTTTGTTTCAGAAACTTTGGGTGAGGGATTGTTGGCCTGTTCAGATGGGACAGGAATATGTAGGATGCAGTAGAAGCCCAGCTATGTGACGTAAATTGGTAATGTGGGAGAAGCTGAAGAGTGTGACAGTGCATCAACCGCTGATTCTTCCCAGTACAACTTACACCTTGTGGTTCATTACTCCCTTGCTAATTAAATGTACTTGCGCAAAATATATATTTTTTATTTCTAATCACTTAAATTTCTGTATAAATTTAGTTTTAACTACTTTTAGCTTTTATAACTTCACTTCATATACTATCTATTGTCAAGAACTTAATGCTTGGCTGAAACCAGTTTGGCTCAGTGGATAGAGCGTCAGCCTGCGGACTGAAGGGTCCTGGTTCCATTCCGGTCAAGGGCATGTACCTTGGTTGTGGGCACATCCCCACTAGGGGGTGTGCAGGAGGCAGCTGATCGATGTATCTCTCTCATAGATGTTTCTAGCTATCTCTCTCCCTTCCTCTCTGTAAAAAAAAAAAAATCAATAAAATATATTAAAATAAAAAAAAAAAAGAATTTAATGCTTGCCTTGCCCAGCATGGTTAGAGTGTTGGCCTGTGGACTGGAGGGTCTCTGGTTCAATTCCCAGTCAAGGGTCCATACCTGGGTGCAGGTTAGATCCCCAGCTCCAGTCAGGGCATGTGAAAGAGGCAACCACATAGATGTTTCTCTCTCTCTTTTTC